GTCAGTGCAGCGAAGGGCCACAAGGTCGGTGGCTGGTTTGCAGGGGATGCCATATGAGGCGGGACTGAGGGAACTGGGTCTCTTCAGCCTGGAGAAGGGGAGACTCAGAGGGGATCTGTTGGCGACATACAGGTATGTGAGGGGGTGTCACATGGAGGTGGGCAGAGACCTGTTCTCCCCTGCAGAGGAGAGCAGGACACACCCCAACGGAGCAAAGCTCAGGGACCCAAGGTTCAACTTGAATGCCAGTATGTCCTTCCTGACAGTTAGGACCCCGAGGGTGTGGAACGGGCTTCCAGGGGAGTTGGTTGAGGCCCCATTGGTGAGGGTGTTCAAAGATAGGCTGGACATGCACATGGTGGGCATTTTGTGAGTGGAGCCAGCTGGAGCTGGGGGTCAGACTAGATGGTCCGAGAGACCCCTTCTGACTTGCTCTTTCTATGTTTCTATGTTTCTAAATGAGTTTGGGTGGCCTGAGACTCAGCCTGGCCTACTCTCCAGGGTTGTTGTGTGGATAAATGGAGAGGAGTAAGAGTTGCATGGGGTGGGAATTGGGATGCAGACATACTAAATAAGTACAATCAATTAATCCTCAGCCAGATGGAGCAATGGTCCAAAGTGGCCTAAAGCAGATGGCTTCCTCTCCAAATGGCCATTCCCCGAGGCTTTTTGCCCCTCCAGGCCATGGGAAAATGGCACAGGCCCTGCAGGGCTCGTTGCATCAGAAGCCCCTCCAACGGGTGGCTCTTTCTTTTTATTACAACAGCTCACTTGTGCCTTCCTTCAGTCCAGCGCATCCATCAGCTGCGTCCTTCCCTGGACGAGCACCGCCTGGCAACAGTGACACATGGTCCGGTTGCCTCCCGGCTGGATTACTATAGCGCGCTCTGTGTGGGGCTGGCCCTGAAAACGGTCCAGATGCTTCAGCTGGCACAACATAGACCTGCCAGGTGCCAGTCCTCTATCAGCTGCACTGGCTCGCAGTTGAAGTCCGAGCCCAATTCGAGGTGCTAGTTCTTGTTGTTGTTGTCGTGAAGTCGTGTCTGACCCATCGCGACCCCATGGACAACACTCCTCCAGGCCTTCCTGTCCTCCACCATCCCCCAGAGTCCACCTAAGCTCATGCCCACTGCCCCAGTGACTCCATCCAGCCCCCTCATCCTCTGCCGTCCCCCTCTTCTCTTGCCATCTATTGTTCCCAGCATTAGGCTCTTCTCCAGGGAGTCCTTCCTTCTCATTAGGTGGCCAAAGTATTTGAGCTTCAGCTTCAGGATCTGGCCTTCTGAAGAGCAGTCGGGGTTGATCTCCTCTAGGACTGACCGGTTTGATTGCCTTGTGGTCCAGGGGACTCGCAAGGCAAGTGCCAGTACTAACCTACAAAGCCCTAAACGGCTTGGGACCAGCATACCTTAAGGAACATCTCCTTCCCTACATGCCCTCATGCCCCTTAAGATCGGCAGGGGATGCCTTGCACCAGGAACCCCCTTTGAAGGAGGTACAGAGGGTGTCTACCCAGAGGAGGGCCTTCTCTGCGGTGGCACCCAGACTATGGAACATGCTCCCCAGAGAGGTCCGCCTGTCTACTCTTTCCAGAGCGAGGTAAAGACCTTTTTGTGGTCTTCATCAGTGGTCCCAATCTTCAAAAAGGGTAGTAGAAGGGACATGGGGAATTATAGACCGGTTAGCCTTATGTCCATTGTAGGAAAAACAATGGAAAGGCTCGTAACAGTGAGGGATCTAGTGATGTTAGATAGGGAAGGGACGCTGGCGGCCACACAACACGGCTTCCGCAAAAACAGGTCCTGCCAGACAAACCTTGTGGAATTCTGTGACAAGGTTTTGAGATGGCTGGATGGAGGGGATGCAGTGGATGTGGTTTACCTGAATTTCAGCAAGGCCTTTGACAAAGTGCCCCATGATATCCTGGTGGAGAAACTGAGGAGTTTTGGGATACACCAAAGCACTCTGCAGTGGATTAGGGCATGGTTGACTGACCGAAAGCAGAGGGTAACCATTAGTGGGGAATCATCGGGATGGTGGCCAGAGACAAGCGGGGTCCCCCAGGGCTCTGTCCTGGGGCCGATCCTGTTTAATCTTCATGAATGACATGAAAGAAGGGGTGAACAGTCTGCTGATCAAATTCACAGACGACACTAAAACTGGAGCAGTAGCCACAACTGAGGAGCAGGTACTCCAGATCCAAAAGGATCTGGACAGACTATGGAAGTGGCAGGAGACAACAGGATGGCGTTCAGTGTGGATAAGTGCAAGGTCTTGCACTTGGGGCATAGGAATAGGTGTCATAAGTACAGGTCAGGGGACAAGTGGCTGGAGAGCAGCACTTGTGAAAGGGACGTCGGGGTGCTGGTTGACTGCAGGCTGACCATGAGCCAGCCGTGTGATGCGGTGGTCAAGAGGACAAACGCCACCCTTGGTTGCACAGCCAGAAGTGTGGCTTCTTGATCGAGAGAGGTGTTACTACCACTCTATATGACTCTGGTGCGCCCACAACTGGAGTATTGTGCTCAGTTTTGGGCCCCTCATTACAGGAAGGATATAGCCAGGTTGGAGTCAGTGCAGCGCAGGGCCACAAGGTTGGTGGCCGGTTTGCAGGGGGTGGGGTATGAGGCGAGACTGAGGGAACTGGGTCTCTTCAGCCTGGAGGAGACTTGGAGGGGACCTGTTGGTGACATACAGATATTTGAGGGGGTGTCACATGGAGGTGGGCAGAGACCTGTTCTCCCCTGCAGAGGAAGGCAGAACACGCTCCAACAGAGCCAAGCTCCGGGAACCAAGGTTCCATTTGGATGCCAGGAAGCGCTTCCTGACAGTCAGGACCTCGAGGGCGTGGAATGGGCTTCCGCGGGAGGTGGTTGAGGCCCCATCGGTGCGGGTGTTCAAGGATAGGCTGGACGTCCACATGGTGGGCATGTCGTGAGTGGAGCCGGCTGGTGCTGGAGATCAGACTAGATGGCCCGGGAGACCCCTTCTGACTTGCTCTGTTTCTATGTTTCTATGTAGCCATCATTTTAATAATAATATTAGTAATTTTAATAAGTTAACAACATTTTACATTTGCATTTTCTTTCTTCTTCTTTTCGTTTTTCTTTTTATCCGGATTAATTGTTAGAGTTGAAATATTTTAATGTTGAATATTTTAATTGTATTTTATGATTATTTATTGTTGTATGTTGTCCTGAGGCTATGCAAGGAACAGGTTATAAATGTTCAAACAAACAAACAAACAAACAAATGCAGACGGTTTGAAGAAGTATTAATTGAAAGGGATAGAACTATGTCCCTTTAGACATTCACACAAAACATTCAATTTAAAAGCAAGGCTTGCTAATCGCTCCCTTGTCCAAACTCCATTCTCAGCAAAACCTTGATCTGCATGCAACACTTCAGATGGGTGTGGCCAGCACCTGCCCCCCCCCCCCCAAAAGCAGGGCTCAGCACTTGGCAGAATGGACCCACACACCCACAACACACTGGAAGCGCACCTACTGAACATATCCCAGTGGTTGCTATGGTAACTTCAGCCCTCCCGGCTAACAGCAGCCATGGTTCCAAGCAAGCCTACTGCCGTTACCATGGCCACTGCCTATGGACCAATTGCCACCTTCTGATATAGGCCCTGCTTGTGTATGCATGGAATCACTGCAGGGTGGACCACCCCCGGCTGCAGTCTGAGCCAGCCACACTCTGCCCCGGCATGTGCCATTCCGTTTTCCCGTCCTGCCACTTTCCCCACCAACAGCATTCCACAGCCAAGAAGCGCAGTCAGCCCTCAAGTGGGGGAGCTTGAACCAGGCTGCCGCACGGACGCAGAAGTGCCGGCACTCCGGTCAGAGCTGGCCAGCCAATGCTCTGACGCAGCGGTCAGATGCTTGGGCAACCTCCCTGGGGCCCCCACCTTGACCCCTATCCCTTGTCTGCCTCGCCCCCACCATTCCTCTGCTGGAAATTCCATGCACAGCAAACAAGGATTCTCCCGGAATTTTAGCCACTGAGCAAATGGCACGCAACCTGAGCATGTTTGGCGCCTCCCGTCAAAAGTGATCCAGGGCTATGAAAGGCCTTTCCACTGCCCAAGGTCTTGGAAAACTGCTGCCAGTCCCTGGGCCAGATGCTAGTGCGGTTTGGCAACCTTTCCCGGTGTGGGCAGATGGGACACAACTTTGCAAATAGGGCACAACTTTGTTTCCTGCAAATTGTTTTTTTTTTTCTTTCCTTTCCAGCAATAGAAAATAATTTTAACCCCCTGCTCTTACCAGGTTGCAATATCTGGATTGCTCAGCTTAGAAAAAATGCAAAACTTGGCAGACAGGACAGGAGCACACAAAATTCTGTATGTTGCACAATTATGTACTGCCCAGTCCTAGTACCTATGAGGTGGTCTCAAGACAGACAAGCCAAAGCCCTCCTTCACACTGCTGCTAGTCCTCATGACCATTGGCTGGCCCAAGAACAGAGGCAGTGTGCCAGAGTGCACCAGATGCTGGGGAACATGGGTGGGAAGGTGCTGTTGAACCTGGCCTCCCTATGGATTTCCCTTTGGGGCAACTCGTATTGCGAGTGCTCAATTAAATGGGCTGGTCGGATCCAGCCCAAACTTTCTGCTCTTCTTATCAGTGGGTGACCTTGCTTCAGCCCCCTTCTCTGCGTCTCTCTCTCAACCGAACCTACCCAACAAGTGAAGGTGTAATATCCGAAAGAGATCCACACCACCCTGAGCTCACTGAGGAAGAGGTGTGGAGTCAACATAAAACGAATAATGATCAAAGAACAGGGGTGCTCTACTCTTCGGATGGTCACATTCACACGACCACCTCCCACGCCCGTGTCCTAGCCGACTGACCCTTGTCAGTCTTTATTTTGGTCTTCACTCTTTGTAACAAGTTCTCCAGGCAGCCCTCGCTCCCGCTCTCCATTGGCTACGGCCCAGCCCTCCCCTCAGCTGATTGGCTGCGACGCGCCGCAATGTAGCCCCTGCTCTTGCCCCAGAAGTTGTGGCCACGCCCACCACTGGGAGCGGATCAGTCGCCAGGCTGGGCTTTGAGGGGATCGGGTCGGTTGCTTACCCAGGGGTAAGTGGATACCAGATCGGGGGTCCGTGGGGCTTTTCTCCAAGGGTTTCCAGGGAGTGATCATTCGTGGGGGGTTAGAAGGCGGATGCTGGAATGTCATTTTTCCCAGTTGGGGTGGGGGCAGAGTTACAGCGGATGACCACAGTAGTCCTCCCGGGGGGGGGGGGGGGCTCGAGCCATTTGAAAAGTGGGGTGCTTGGCTTCAGTTAACGGAAGGAGATTTATGGCTCAGTACTGGGCCTGTATTAAAGGGTGGAGGCTACCCCCCCCCTTATTTTTTCTTGGCAAAAAATACTTTTGCAAGCAATTTTAGAGAAAAAGTTTACCATGTTGTCTTTCAAAGGCCTGCAGACTCGATGAACATTCGGGGGCGCCCAAGCCCCCGGCCCGCATTCCTGCAGCACCAGATCGCAAAACCCTCGCGTAGGTTGCCCTCAAATGGTCTTTGTCTCGCTCCTCCTCGAGAAATGTCACGGAAAATATTGTTGTGTTTTGAAACACATGCAAACCCCTCTAAGTGCCGGCCCCTCTCCCCGCCCCGCCCGGGCCGAAGGGTGCTCCTGACAAAGGCCGTGACACTTTAACGGGTCTCCTCTGAGCAAGGCCCCCTGAGTCCATTGAGTCTTCTTCCGGGAAATGGCAGGTCGAATTGCATCTTTAAAAGAGCGGCATTTCTGGTGGCAAAATCTTCAGCGAGTTACAACCCCTTCGTTTAAGGTGGCCCTGGTCTCTTCTTTCTGATGCAACAGTCTAACACAATAGTTTGGGGGGGAGGGGGGAATCAAAAACAATAACCTCCTCGAAGTTGACAATGTGTCCTGGAATGTATAGAAGTTTTCTCATTGTTTCCAAACTCAGAAATAACAGAGAAAATAACCAACTGGATGAATACACGTTGTGCTGTTCTCTGCACGTCTCTTGCGGTGGCAAGATACAAATGCCTTCTTGCCCTGGATTTCTGTACAGGCCTGCTCAGAAATGACCCCCATTGAGTTCATTGGGACGGATCTGCCAGCTCGTGCATCTAGTCACGGCCTGTAAATGCTTGCAGATTCTTTCTACCTTAAAAGGGAAGGAAGGACTCTTCTTCCTGTTCTTCCCACATGTGGTATTTCTAGCTTTTGCTTCCATACTCTCAGCTTTTGCAAACTTTTAAGCACGCGTTTGGAGCACTCATATGTGAGAACTTACTAAAAGCAGGTCCTTTTGGCCGTTCCTCCTCTGCAGTCCAAGGTTATGCACTCAAGTCTCTTTGGTTATGAGTATGATTATTTGAAACAAAACTCATAAATTGCTGGTACTTAGTGCCAAAGATTAAAGAATCCAACCCTGTGGCAAATTAATGGATAATCCATTAATTTGACCAAATGATAAGATCAGGCACCACAGAGTGTTTTTAAAGCCACAGTTTGCTTGATAAATTGGAAGGATGTTTTAATGCCTTTCTGTTGAAACCACTGGGATATCCAAAGAGTACATTTTTAAACGAGTTGCTTCAGTATGTTCTTTTCTTGCTATCATAACAACCCAGCAAGGTAGTTTAGGCTGAGAATCAGGAACCGGCCTGTAATTGCTCATGACTGAGTGGATCTTGAACCCAAGTCCCAGTCTGACTCTCTAACCACTAGGTAAAACTGTTGTTGTGGGAAGAATGGAAAGGAGGGTTGTACAAGTTGCCTTGAGTTCCTTGCAGGAAAGTGTGGAGATGTAAATATGATAAATAAAATAAAAATGAATGCATTAAATAAAAAAGGAATGCTATGAAAAATAAGCACAGGTCCCAGAATATTCCCCTGTCAAGGAGGTTGGCTCTCTGTGATCAGTTCTTCCGACGGTGCCTCCTTCCTCTAGCATGCTCAGAATCCTAGAACTCAAAGTCATCTCATGCATGAAGGGAGTGAAGGGAGATTTGGGGCAGATCAAGGGAAGGATTTCTGTGCATACTGTGCAGAAGTAAACTGTGTGGAAGTGGCACTCTGCAAGATGCAGCAGATTGGATGATGCTGAAGGGAGATTTGAAGAATGCTCAAAGTCTTCTTAGTGCTTTTTCCTCTTCCCTCCCCATTCCACTTTCCTTGTGTGCCGTGTCTTTTCCAGATTGTAAGTGGGAGCTGCCTCTTTCACTGTCAGACTCTAAACCACTCTGTGAGACCTTTTTTGGGCTATGGAATGGGGTAATAATAAATAATTGTGATAACTGTGTGTTATTTCCAGTACTGGAGTCAGTGTCTCTTTGACAGATTTCCTTTCATGTACATGCAGACTGTTTTTCTGCAAGGCACCCAAGGTGGCCTACAGAATCCTCACAACAACCCTGTGAGGTGGGTGAGGCCGAGAGTCAGTGAGCTTCAGGGTCAAATGGAGACTAGCATCCCCCTCAGCATGCTAACCAGTGTACCACACTGCCTCTTCAAGTTGCAAGAGCTATGGGAGGATATGATCCTGATTCAATCAACCTGTTTGCATCAGGAATAGCAGAATGAGAGCCAGTGTGGTGTAGTGGTTAAGAGCATGAGACTGGGACTCAGACGACCAGGGTTCTAGTCCCCGCTCAGCCATGGAGCCCACTGGGTGACTTTGGGCCAGTCACAGACTCTCAGCCCAACCTACCTCACAGGGTTGCTGTTGTGGGGCTAAGATGGAGGAGGAGAATGATGTAAGCTGCCTTGAGCCCTTTGTTGGAAAAAGGCAGGATATAAATCAGAAAAATAAAATAAATAAATAAATAAATAAATAAATTGGTCAGATGAATGTGCAAAATACATTCCTTTGGGAGGAGGATGCCCATTGCTTCCCAGCCTGAATCACCGTTCTTGGCTGTGCCTTCTTCCATGTTTCACCAGGTAAGCTGGAGCAGAAGGGAAAAAGACACAGCCAGGTACATGGGCCCAACGGCTTTTAGCTGAGGATGGGATCCCTTATCAGAGACCTCCTTGCAGAGGAAGAGGTCTGATTTGACTGTTTAACAAGCTTTGACACTTGAAGCATATGGTTAGACTGTGGGGAGCGGCTGCCTGAGGTTATGAGGAGACTCCTGGAATCAAACTTCAGGCATGCAGTCTAATCTACCTTGCAGGGCTGCTCTGAAGATAAAGGGATTGCTTTATGCTCCCAGGTGGAGCAACAGGGATCAAAGGTTCAGAACAACAAAACTGGCAAAAAAAAAAAAAAAAACCTGAGCTGCTGCATTGTTGAGACCACAATGCAGAGGCCACAAAGTTTTCTCCCTGCGCCCAGTTTTTCCTACAGTAAATTAAAACTAATATTGGCTCTTTGCACAGCAAACAACCTTGCATGACACTTCATAGCATTACGCACTACAGTTACGTCATTATTCCATGAGGGCTAGAAACACAACACACTGGTCATGCAGCCTTCAGTTCTTACTGACCAGGAAGTGCGCAAAGGTCTTGTGCTTTTCTGAACTGAGCCTTGTTGGAGTTAGGGATGATTTCTGAGCACATTCTTCACTGCCTCTTCCCAAAGCCAGGGGTTTATTTTGGGGGTGTGGGGCAGGAAATAATGTTCAGGGAACAGTACATCCTCTTATGCCCTAATCCACCTGTTTTGCATTCCCCACCCCTCTCTGGCAAAGGTAAGGCATGCCACAAATTGCGCAACTAGGACCCATGCTCGCATCGCCATGCGCCTGTCCTCTAAGGCTGACCTTTCTGGCGCAGTGTTCTCTTAAAATGAGTAAGCCCTTTCCATGCCAGTGGCAAGTAGCCCAGTAGGGGAAAGTTTACAGCTAGGACAAACCTGAGCATGTTTGGCTAAGGTGTCCTGGCTGGGTCCTTTCCCCCTCCTGCTTCAGCTTACCTGGTGAGACCTGGAGCAGCTCTCCTGCCTTGGCTGCCTTTCCATCGCTGCTGCAGAGCCCCTTCCAGTCCAAGGGGCAAATCCTGTATCAGAGGACCCCTGAGTGGGGGTGTGGAGGGGGGGCTGCATGCCAGTCCTGGGCAGGGCAAAGGAAGAACACCTGTGGTGAAATTCTGGCCTCTGGCCTCCCAGACCGCTCCCAGACCCCTCCCGGAGAGGGGTTTCAAACTTTTAGAATTGGAGGTGGAGGCTGCACAAAAGCCAGAAATGGGCAAACAGTTGGTGCTTTGGGGGAGAAACATTTCAGGAACTGCAGAGGACCAAACAAGAACCACAGAAGGCTGTACTTGCACCCTTCACTGTAATTGCTGTGTTTTATGAACTTCTTTGTGGTCATTCCTGGCATGACCTCAGCCGCTTTTCACATATTCTTCCTTGTGTTGGACTCCAGCTCCCATCTGCTCTGTCTCCTGGATGCCATGTTGCTCTGGCCATTTCTCCTATGCTTCTTTTGACTCCCCAGCCCTCAACAGCACTTTTCAGTTTGTTTGGGTGCTCCTTTTTCCAGATCAAGAAAAGCAGAATCTGCGCCTTAGAGAACTCAGGGGTCTGCCTAGCCCTGTAGTGTTTATGCTGCCTGGTGATAGCTTTCCAGGGTTTCTAGGTGGGCTTGGATAAAATGCACTGCTGTCAAGCTCCTTAAAAACAAACTAAGCTGCTAGTCCTCAGGGTTCTGAATTCAGGGCTGTTTTAAATAGAAACAATAACTTGCAATCAGCGATTAAGTTTGGGTTGTCATTGCATCATGAGTCCTTGTGCAGTCCTAACAAGCCAGAGTCTCTATACGGCTTGTTGTTGGGCTGTGAACTGTGGGTTATTAACAAATTGTGGTTTGCTAGCATGGCTGGGTTCCAACAGTGCAATATCCCATGTTGCAACAACAGCACATACAACAACTGAACGCAGTCAGTGGCAGTGAAAGTGTTGACGGATTGAGCAAGGGACCCATGGGGAGAAAATGTACAAAATGAAGTTTAATGAAGTTTAGCTGGAGAGAAAGCAGGCAGGGGAAGAAAGCGCAGCCTACTGGGGACCCCCCAGGATGGGTTGGTTTCAGGGGTTGCCGCTCTTCACCTTCGCTGTAGAACATCCTGGGCTAGCTCATGGCAAGAGGTTTATTCCCCCTCCCCTTGGGCTTCTCTTTATCTCGGATTAAAATCTCTAACCAGCCTTCAAGAGCTTCTTTCCAGATCCTGCTCTGCGGAATGTGGAACTGGCCTTCCCTCCTTAAGCCCCATAACCAAAGAAACTGGAATTGGGAGTCTGATGAGATGGCATGGATTTTTTGGAGCGTTTGCTCGGCTTAGGGAATGGCTTTGTCTTTGTGGCGTTTCAGCGCAACAGTTTTGTGCATTCTGTGAGAGGGTTGCATTGTAATATGTAATTGTAATATGGGGTGCAGTTGTTTGCCACCTGTTACTGGGGTGTGAAACGACTGAGCAGACTTCTACTTACAGCACAGAACACAATGGCACCCCCCCAAAAAACACCCTCGAGAAAGAGACCAAAACAAGGAGCTGCCCAACAAAACATCTAGTGATGGCTGGGTAATCCCAGGGCCAGGGACCAGATCCAGATTTTGGGGGTCCCCATCCGGTCCTCCAGAGTTCCCAAGAGGGACCCACCCCATTCCCCAGGCTCACACACTTGTCTCCAAGTGCCAACTGTTTGGGAGCTTCCCAAATATTCCCATGTGCCCCCCCCCCACCACAATTCTAAAATTGTTCCTGAAGCTTACACTGTAGGCAGCAAGAGTAAATACAGGCTGGCATTTTTTAGATTTAGGCCCTGCCCCCTTCTGCGTTTGGCCCTTCCCCTTTTGCCTTCAGACCTGCCTGCCCTGGCAGGCTCCCCCGACCCCCCGGAACATCTCAAAAATGTGGCCTTCAGGATGAAAGACAACCCTACAGTCCTCTGCAGATCTGGTGCCTCCAGATATGTTGGACTACAACTCCCATCTGCCTGATCACACTGAGGGCAATGGGAGTCATGGTCCAAAATACTTAGAAACATAGAAACAGAGTGAGTTCCAAGGGGTTCTCGGGCCATCTAGTCTGACCCCCGGCTCCAGCCAGCTTCGCTCACGACATGCCCACCATGTGCATGTCCAGCCTATCCTTGAACACCCTCCCCGATGGGGCCTCAGCCACCTCCCATGGAGGCCCATTCCACACCCTCGGGGTCCTGACTGTCAGGAAGGGCTTCCTGGCATCCAAACTGAACCTTGGATCAGGATCGGCCCCAGGACAGAGCCCTGGGGGACCCCGCTTGTTACTGGCCACCATCCCAATGATTCCTCACTAATGGTTACCCGCTGCTTTCAGTCAGCCAGCCATGCCCTAATCCACCGGACAGTGCTTTGGTGTATCCCAAAACTCCTCAGTTTCTCAACAGTATACCATGGAGCACTTTGTCAAAGGCCTTGCTGAAATTCAGGTAAACCACATCCAGGTAAACCACATCCCTCTGTCTAGCCATCGCAAAACCTTGTCACAGAATTCCACAAGGTTTGTCTGGCAGGACCTGTTTCTGCGGAAGCCGTGTTGTGTGGCTGCCAGCCTCCCTTCCTTATCTAGCATCACTAGATCTTTCTCTATTAGGAGCCTTTCCATTGTTTTTCCTACAATGGACTTAAGGCTAGCAGGTCTGTAATTCCCCATGTCTCTTCTTCTACACTTTTTGAAAATTGGGCCCACTGACCCCCCCCCCCCATTCCTCTGGAACTTCACCCGTTCTCCACAAGCCCTCAAAAATGGAGGCCAGCGGGCGTGAGAGAACCCCTGCCAACTCTCTAAGTACTCTCGGGTGTAACCCGTCAGGGCCTGGCGCCTTTGTAACGTCCAATGCCCTGAGGAGCCCCTCAACTTCAAGGGGGGTGACTCTAATCTGTGCCCCTAAATCCCTCTAATCTTAGGCCTCATCTAATCTCCCATGCGAAATAATCATTTAGCATCTGTGCCTGTTCCCTCGCATCAGTCACTGGATCCCCTTCCTCCTTGTTTAGCAGTCCCACTACTTGTCTTCCCTTCCTCTTCCTATTTATATGCTGAAAGAAGCCCTTTTGTTGCTCTTGATATTCTTGGCAAGTCTCAGCTCATAATTGGCCTTAGCCTTGCAAAGAATCCCCCTGCAATGGGCCTCCTCCTCCCGGTATACCCTTTTGTCTATTTCCCCCAGTACCCATTTCCTACTGAGGTTCCTCTTGTGTCTAATCCCTCTAACCACCTCCTTTGGATCCATGGTGGCACTCTCCTCTGCCTCCCCACCTTACTGACTAGAGGTATCGTCAAGGCTTGCGCCTCCAAAACCTCCATTTTGAGTGCCACCCACCCCGCCTCAACTCCCTTGCCTCCCAGTAACCTGTCCCAGGAGGCTTTGCCCAGTCTGGCCTTCAATGGCCAGAGTTGGCCCTCTGGAAGTCCCAGCGTCTAGTGCTCGACCTGCTGCACGTCCCCAGTCCCCTGATCTCAAAGCAGAGGATGGAGGGATCACTCGCATCCAGAGCTCCCCTAATCTGTACTTCATCTATCAGCTCCTCCCTATTGGTCAAGACCAAGTCAAGGATGTTTCCCCCCCCTTGTCACCTCTTGGACACTCTGTGTGAAAAACCCTCCCTCTATAGCTTCCAGGAAGCAATGTGACCTGGCTATCACTGCTGAGTGAGTCTCCCAAGTAATATCCCAAGTAATATTGAAATCTCCCATAATTACTGTCTCTCTCCCCCGAGATATCCTTCGAATCTGGCCTGTCAGGACATCATCCAGGGTCTCAAGTTGACCTGGAGGGCGATAACTTGCCCCCACTGTCAGGTCCCTTTTCCTATCAAAACCCCTAAGTTTCGCCCAGACTGCCTCTGCCGAGTCATGGCTCAAAATACGTGGAAAGTGCTTTCGGGGAAGGCTTGTCTTGGGAGAGGGTGGGGGCAGTGCTCCAATTTTGGAGTAAGGGATGTTTTCCCTCAGTTGCAAAGCCAGCCAAGGTTTCTTTAACCTCAAGAAGAATCACATTTTCTACACCAAGTATCTCATTTCCTGAAACCTCTTCAAACTCTACAATGGAACTTCCAAGATGGTCATTAGACTGTCTTCTCAGAATTCTTTACAGGCTATACTGGATGTCCCCCAGAATTGTCCACAGAGCTGCTATTCCCTGTAATTAGTGTTCCTGGGAAGAGGGGGGCTGAATTGGGTGTGTTTCAGGATTGCTCAGATTTGGGACAGATGGGAAGCCTGCAAACTGTGGAGGGGGAGGGGGGAGATTTTTTCCCAAAGGTTGGAGAGGGACACACTGTTGATGGAATGGGGTGCTCCTGTCCACATTTGTGCAGGCCCTTATCATGGCTGGATGCTTCTCCGGGTCCACAACCTTGCAGAGTACACACCACCAAGTTGCACAGGTGTGCAGGCAAACACACTTGGACGCTGCCATCCCCCCAGCAATTGCCATGTGCTATACTCACCTTATGAGTAAACCTGAAGAAATAAACCAGTCGCACTTGGGTAAAGTAGCAGACAACAGAAGGCGCTTACCGAAGGCTTTTTACCCAGCATCCTTGCCATATCACGCATCAGGGAGTTCCCTAAGTTTCACTGGGCGTTGCCAGAAGATGTAGGAACTCCTAACAGACGCTCCTCCTTCCTTGTAGGGCTACCATGTCGTCCGAAGGAAGCGATGTGCAGCAGCAAGCCGTTCCCGCTGGCAAAGAGGCCGAGCCCCAGGTGAGTGGCGGCGCCGAGCTGGAGCAGGTGGAGGCCAGGTGGATGCGCAAGGCCCGCAGCTCAGTCTCTTGGTTGGGTTTCGGCACCTCACCTCACCTGCTTCCACATCGGTTTGCACACTGTTTTTCGCTAGCGTGTGGAATCGGTGTTCTTGCGCGCATGCTTTGGGCCTGGGCATCGTTTGTAGCATGCGGTGTTTACAAAGCACGCTCCCCCCTCGTGGGGTAAAACAACGTCGGTTTTCTGAACACACCCGCCCTTTTGGGAATGTCTTGCACTGCCTGACGGAGCTGAACATTCACCAGGGTTGCTTGGGCCAAACCGCGAGGAGGCGCTGCAGGAAGGCTGCCTTGCCGCGGGGAAGTGAGCCAGACGCACCAGGAGTGATGACCCCGAATGAGTCCCCCGCCAGGTCCTCCGGCCCCGTGAAAGCGCTGCTTTTCAAGGAATGCACAGCCGACCTTGCCAGTCACCCGGCTGCCGTCCTTGGGGGTGCCCTGCAGAGCTGGGGGGCTGCCCGTGAACTCCTCCCCTACAAAACAGCGAGGCGCCCGTCCGGACATCTTCGGAGGGGCACTGGAGGAACCCGGCTGCCACTAGCTGCTGGTCCCAATGACTTCAAGCCACCTCCGGGCTCAGAGGCCTGCGCCACTGTGCCCCCGTGCTGGGGAACGTGGGCAGGAGGGTGCCGGCGCGCTCGTGTCCTCCTTGGGAGGCGTTTCCGCGAAGCTGGTGGCCCCTGTGAGAGCAGCGCCCGTGTGGGGCCGAGGTTCAGGGCGTGGGGCTGCCAGTCCCCACTCAGCCATGGGGCCCGCTGGGGTCTTTGGGGCAGCCACTGGCTCGGCCCAGCCTGCCTCACAGGGGCAAGAGGGTGAGCAATGGGGGGGGAAATGGGGGGGCTGCTTTGAGTTTCTTGTAAGAAAGAAGTGGGTGGAAATCTAATGCGTGAACAGGCAAAGAAACCAGCATGTTGGTTGACTGGATGGCAGATTAGACGGATTGATGGAGTTGGGTGTTCTTGCCTCTTTGGGAAGGAGCCGCGTGGTTCTCTTGCTCCAGCAGCACAGCCGGGAGCTAATTCCTGGCCTTGGAGCGGGGCCCCGAGCGGTTGCTGGGCGGCCTTGGAAGCAGGCTGGGAACCCGGGGTGTGAATTACAGCGCCAGCCAGGCAGGGACAGTGGGAGACGCAATCCCCTTCCATCTCTCCTGAACGCTGGGAAGGTCAGCAGGAAGCATCGGAGGGCACGGAAAAGCTCTGTGTGTTTAGCCAATGGCATCCTACAACCCGCAGCATTTCCCTTGCCACCTGGGATCCATGGGATGTTTTTCTGTCAAAACATCAATTGGGTCACTGCCTAAGATGCACAAAGGAAAAGGGATGGGGAACAGGAAGCCCAGCTGTTTGGTTTGGCAGGCAAGTTGGTCCTGGAAGTGCCATTTCCTGCAGATCGGAGCGATGCAGCTTGCTTGCTCGTGGGAGGTTCCTTTGCACTTCTAGGGGTTAAACATTTCCTAGCAAAGGGCTTGACCCAACAGGATGGAAAGCACTTTGCAGCACCTCTGCTTGCAGGTTTGAATCGCAGCAAGTGACCTGAAAATGTTCCCTCTGGAGAGTTTTCAATTGGATTGGGCAAATGCGATGTTTGAGAAACATTAATGGGGTGGCATTTTCCAGTCTCAGTATCACAAACTTGCATGGTACCCCAGCCTATTTTTCAGTTCCGGAATCTTAATGGAAAACCAACTTCACTGTCTCACAGATCCAAGAAATCCTTCAATTCTCTCTGCTGCTGGACCTTCCAAGCGGGATTTTTCTGGTCAAAATCTGTTATTAGACTCCTGTTTTTCCCTAACAGGATGCGCTTCTCAGAAACTGCTGCTGGAAAATTGTGATTCTCAACACTTAGAAACAATTCCCATTTCTTTTCTTTCTAAAGCCCCAATCAGTTCCACAGTGATAACCTTGGGACTAAACCAGGATTTAATTTCAGAGTGATTTAACAGTGGCTGTTATTTTTATTATTGTTACTGCCAGCATAGCATAGCAGCAAGAGTGTTAGCACAGGGCTCAGGAGGTCTGGTTTTTAGTCCTTCTCAGCCATGAAACTCACTGAGTGATCCTGAGCTTTCAACCTAACCTAACCTACCTCACAGGGTTGTTGTGAGCATAACAGACCGCAGGAAAACCTTGTATTGGTGCCTCACGTTCCCTGCAAGAGAGAGATGGGTGGGATATAAACATAATGCAATATGATCAAAACAATCATTAACAATAATGCATCATCGGCAATCATTGTCATTAAGTATTCACAATGATTGTTATTAATCTTAATAGCTTTTTATTAATTATTCATGATAACTCCGGATTAATATAAGAAAAATGGAGATTGCTAGTAGAATGCGGTATTGACGTGCTGGCTATGGATGATGGGGCTTGTAGTCCAAAGGCTCTGGAAGCCACCGGGCTGGGGGCATCAGGCTGTAAGCAGTAAGATGTTGCAATCTCCATTGTCTTTCATTTTCTGTTTTGTTCTGTTTTGTTTTCCCCTCTGCTGACATTCTGTGATGCGCCTTGGCGTGGAGGGCTGCTCCCGTTTCGAATAGCTGTTTGTGTTTCTCTTTGCAAACCATCTCATTTCCCTGAACTCGCAGTACCTCCCGTGACTGTGCTCTGCTCTGCTCCTACATGCAACGCCCAATTTCTCTTTTCCTTTTCCCCCTCCTCGCTTGGCAGAACGCGGTGGTCCGTATGGCCAACCTGCCGCTGGTGAGCTCGACCTACAACATGGTCTCCACAGCCTATACCTCCACGAAAGAGACTCACCCTTACCTCAAGTCCGTCTGCGATGTGGCCGAGAAGGGGGTGAAGACCATCACGGCTGCGGCCGTTAGCGGCGCCCAGCCCCTCCTCACCAAACTGGAGCCACAAAGTGGGTGAACATGGCGTCCTCCTTCATCTTGCATGGCACTTCCTCACGTCCTCGGGCTACCTCCTTTTGGGGCAATTCCTGCTTCCCTTTGTGAGCAGCAGGTGCCTCAAACAGTGCACCTAAAATTCTGCAGGCCACAAGCTTTTGTGTGGTTGCTTTTGCATCTACAGGCTGTGCAGGGGCACTTGGCCGCCGTGCCCGAAAGCTGGACTGGCGTCAAGGGTCAGCTTAGCTGCGTGGACCCACACCCTGGCAGGGGGTTTGCTGACCACAGCCCCCCAGCTTTCTCCTCCTCTGCACCACTGCAGCTGGGCTTTTGACCCGGCCAGGCAAGTGGGGTGCGGAGAGAGAGCACAGGCGGTGCTTCTGGCTACCACGCTTTCTTGGCAAGCGAGCCCCAGTGAGGAAGGGGGTGGTGGCAGTAGGAAGGGATGCCCGCTCGGGGTGGGGGGTGCCCGGACAGGCTGTCTCAGGCCAGGCTCTTCCTGTCCCCAGTGGCAGCCCATTTCCCAGCCATCTCACTGGCTTCTCAGCTGTCCTTTGATTCCATGGCTCACTCCTGGCCGTCATGAGGACTAGAACCTGGGCAGGGGTGTGTATCCATGCAGCCACATCAGCTGGGCATTTTTGGAAAAAAGAAAGACGTTAACCCCCGCTGATGTCAACCAGATTGTGTTTCCTGGGAGCCCTCAGACCAAATTGACTGGTCTCAACTCAGGTTTAAATGGCAAAACATTCTGCTATTAGCCTCCCCCCCCCCCCCCCCTTTTTCCACCTGCAGTTGCAACAGCTAATGAATATGCATGCAAAGGACTGGAGAAGCTGGAGGAAAAGCTGCCCATCTTGCAACGGCCCTCCGAGATGGTCAGTACCCCGCCAGCAGAACCGAACTCGCTGACACAATATCTATCATTCTGCTTTTCTAGATGTTCCCTCTCTGCTGTTGGTCAGGCCCCGGCCAAACAAAGCCACAAGCTCTTGAAGCATTAGAGTAACTGAGCAATAGTAAAACAAGAGCCACAGTGGCGGCAGTGTGATAAAGTGGTTAGAGTGCAGGGCTGCGTGCCCAGGACATCCAGGTTTTCATTCCCACTCAGCCAGTCACTTGCTCTCAGCCTGACTGCCCTCACAGGGTTGTTGTTGTGAGGAAGAAACAGAGGAATGGTTTGTAAGCAACTCTGAGTTCCTTACAAGAAGAAGAAAGGAGTGGTATAAATGTAATATAAGAATAACCAAAGCATCATTAAAACACCAAGCCCCTAAATTACTCCACAGAATAAAGTGGGGTCCAGCTGTCCCCAAAGCCATAAAATTCTACATTTCTCTCAGGGCGTCCTGACACACATCTCTCCATGCCTTCGTGTACATGCACAGTCCAAATGTCACTTTTCATCCTGCATTTTAGCTGGGTGCAGTATCCCAAGCTTGGTTCTGTTCTATGAAAGGTCTATGAAAGGTCGCAAGCCATAAAGTTGCCTTGCTGAGGGTTGTGGGCTTTTTTCATAGGATTGAGCTGTTATTGGCCATAAAAGAGCTTGAGGAAACATAGGTTGTATGGGTTCTTTTCCCCTAAATCTCCCCAAAAACAGTGAGGTAATCCAAAGAGGAGCTTTATTTCCAAATAATACCTATCCCAATGCATTTCAAAGCACATATTCAAGGTATGTCCAGAAAGTAATGAGCTTTTTTGAATGATATTTTTAAATGGTATTTAAATATCTTTTAAATGTTAAAGGAATGATATTTTTAAAATTCTTTTATTGAAAAATTTTAAAATCAAACATTGTCTCCTTCAAAGTATGCACCTTGTGAGTGTACACAACACTGCCAAGATTTGTCCATTCTTCATAGCATAGCATCCCTGAAAGACTTCAAGTGCAATGGCATTCAGAGGCTGCATAGGGGCTCTCTGGACATCCATTATCCACACTATCAAAATGGTGTCCTTTCAAACCATTCTTCATCTTTGGGAATATGAAAAAGTTGCAAGGAGCCAAGCTGGGGCTGTAGGATGGACGGGGAAGCCCCGTGAGGTGTTTCTCTGCCAAAAACTCTCTGACAGCCAAAGCATTGTGACTCTGCGTTGCTGTGATGAAGGCTCCAAGCTGAGCCGGTTTCAACTTGGACCATCTTGTGCAAGCGATAGCGCAGCTTCCCCATCAGCTTTCCTCACCATTTCCAAAGCTTCTGATGCACTTTCTCCCAATTTCGCACAATTTATCGCGTACTGTTGTTCCAAACTCGCTTACATCATTCTTAATACGAGACACCTGAACAGGGAGTCACAAAAGAGAATGTCTCGACTCTGGCAGGGCTGGAATGCAACTGATCGGTGTTCTCAAGTACCTACACCTGGCAGCCCACCCCAAGTGACCTTGGCCAGCCTCTCCCTTCACAGAGCCCTTCTCGAGCATAGGGACCTCATTCTCATGACTTTCTGGACACACCTGGAGAAATTCAGTGCTGGTCATACAAGTGCAGGATGCTGGCACTGGAACAGTGGACTCCACTGAGTGCAGTTCCACGCAATTTCCCTGAAGGAGGGCCTGTATGTTGTGCAAGATGCATTCCAGTTGTTTACTCTGTGGAAATAAAACACCTCAGCTGCTTTTGGCCGGTGTGGCAGAGTTCCCCCTTTCGCTGAAGTTGGGCCACTTCCATGCCAAGATCTCCTCCCAGCCATTTGTGGGGTGGTGCTTAACAAGGCTGGCATGGGAGGCAGGCGGTCTGGGCTCTAGTCCCTGCTCAGCCATGGAGCCAATAGGGTGATGCAGGCACAGATTCTCGGCCCAGCCTACCTCACAGGGTTCTTGCTGTGGGAATAAGGTTAAGCACAGGAGGAAGAGAATGATGCCAGCTGCTTTGAATTCTCCAGAAAAGAAAAAGGTGGGCATGGATCTAATAAAATGATACGTTTGCTTCCTTCCTCTGCCTTCACTTCCCAGGTGGTAGCAGACACGAAGGAGCTGGTCTCCACCAAAGTGGTTGGCGCCCGGGACGCCGTCTCCAGCACCGTGAACGGGGCCAAGAGTGCCGTGAGCAGCGGCGTCAGCGGGGTGATGGACATGGCCAAGGGGGCCGTGCAGGGCAGTGTGGAGATGACCCGGTCGGTGGTGGCCGGCGGCGTGAACACCGTCATGGGCTCCAGAGTGGGGCAGATGATGGCGACCGGCATGGATGCCGTGCTGGTCACCTCAGAGAAGCTGGTGGACCAGTACCTCCCCATGACAGATCAAGAGCTGGGTGGGTTAAGGCCTTCATCCCCATTGTCTCCCAGCTCCCATACGCCCCAGCTCCCATACGCCCCAGCCCGTCCTTCAGCTGCCCTCTCCCCAGCTCCCCAAGTGGGCTGGGAACAGCAGCCCAGCCCATTTGGGGAGAGGCGGATTGGGGTACAGCGAAGCTTGAGCCGGTTTTTCAGCCCATGGGCCACACCCCATGCTGGAGAAGTCCTGGGGGGCTGCCTCCCAGTGGTGGGCGGGCCTAAGGCAAAAGAGGAGGGGCCAACCCTTTAAAAAACACCCCATTGGAGCCTAAAGCTCTCTTTCAGAAAGGCATTTTTCTTTTGGAATAGGGGGGCTTGCACAAAAGCTGGGAAACCACCAAGCAGCTGGGGGGTGGGGGGCAAGAGGAAGGGGTGGAGCTAGTGCAAGGGGTGTGGCCATCTAGGGAACCTGCCTGAGGCCTCCACTGTGTCCTTGCCCCAGCTCCTGTCCCTCCAGCCCCCTGGCATGTAAACCCCGAGAGTTTCTCCCCTGCTCTTGCTGCAAACATCTAAGCTGTTTCCCCTCCTCCTCTCAGCCATGCTGGCCACCTCCGTGGAGGGTTTTGAGATGGCCACCGTGGAGCAGCAGAGGCAGGAGCGGAGCTACTTCGTGCGCTTGGGGTCGCTGTCGACCAAGCTCCGCCACCGTGCCTTCCAGCACTCCCTGGCCAAGCTGAAGGAGGCGAAGCAGAGCACCCAAGACATCCTCTCTCAGCTTCACCAAACCATCGTGCTGGTAAGAGTGCGGCCATCTTCTTCCTCAGTCGCATTCCTCAACTGGACCACCCAGACATCATCCCCGGCCACGTTGCTGTGCAGTCACGGAATGCATCACAAACATTCCAACTTCAGGGCAGCAGCAATGAAAGCAAAGGACCTGCTTGAATTGGGTGTGCCGATGGGGAGATGCCTTTTCACCCAGCGATGTGGGACGCACGTGGGCAGGCACTGAAGGTCACAGCCTGGGGAGAAAAGGGAAAGCAGGGAGGCATACGAGTCCATCACTCGGCTCCCCCCGCTGTCTGTGCCCCCGCGAACTGGAAGGTGGCGCGTGAGTGGATTGTGGAGACCTTGCTCCAGTACGTAACAAGTCTGATGGGTTCCCCCCACCTCCTCTCCCCACCCTTTTTGTCCCATTTTGTCAGATCGACCATGTCAAACAGGGTGTGGACCAGAAATGGCATGGTGCTCAGGAAAAGCTGCACCAGATGTGGTTGGACTGGAGTCAGAAGCAAACTGGGAGTGATAAACCCTTGGACCCATCTGCTCACCCAGAGGTAGCTTGTCCCAGTTGCCTCTCTGCTCTGGAGAGAGGCCATTTTTGTTATTTTATTTAGTATGTTTTATTATATTTATATACTGTCCCATAGCCCACAAGGCTCTCTGGGTGGTTTTCAAATATTAAAATCATAAAAACAATCCTTAAAATACTCATAAAGCAATACAAACACCTAAAAGTACTATTATAGTATTTATAATTTATATTATAGCATAGTATTATAGTATTTAGTAAACACCTTAAGAACTGTAAAACAATAGAACAATCAAGGACAAATAACCAAGCACAGCAGCAATTTATAAATAGTTTTTAAACTGGTTCATCAATAAGAGACATGGGCTTAGTTATTAAGATATTTAGAAAATAAAAAGGTTTTCTCCTAGTGCCGAATAGATGCCAAGGTGGCACCAGACACACCTTTTCAAGACAAAGGACCGCTGCACTGTCACAGTGACCCAGGGGAGGGGTAGGGTGACCATTGCCAAAAAGAGAGGACAGGGACATCCATAACGTGTGCATATGCTAATGAGCATTTATCGATGCTAATTTAGAATGCAAATCCTCATTTAAACAGAAATGCAGTCCACCTTACCACGCCCTGCGTTTGTTTCCTGGTGTGGCTTGTGCCGCCTTCATGGCTGGGATGAAGCATCTGCAGATGTCTTTCTGGGCTCAGGCCAGTCTTGGGAAGCAAGCCAACCTGAGGGGGAATCCATGAACGAAGGCAGTGCAACCAGATTCCCATTTTTCACGTGCGGCGTGGCAGAAGGATTCCTTCCTGTTTGTGGGAACCTGAAATCTACTGTTTGCTTCCTCAGATTACTGCCTAGCATGAAAAAAAAATGATATTTAGCTTGCTTTCATGGTACATTAGTCCATCTTGTTGCTTCACAGCAACAACTTGGTGCTAAACCTGGTTAATTTAGCTTGCAAGAAGCCTAATTAGTGCTGTGTACTTGGTGCAGCCACTGTCCAGTTTCCCAAAAAGAGGACAGCATGGTGGGAGCTGCATGTGGCCGTGCGGACGGCACACGAAGGTCCTTGCTTTTGTATCTTCTAGGTGGAGTCCCAGGCCCTCGCCTTGTTCCGGGGGCTCACACAGCAGCTGCAGCTCTCCTGCCTAACGCTCATGTCCAACGTCCAAGGGCTGCCTGCCAGTATCCAGGACAAAGTCCAGCTGGTCCGACACGTTGTGGAAGACTTTTGCGCTTCCTACTCATCTGCCAGTTCCTTCCAAGAGGTGCCCACGGCCGTCTTGCTGCAGAGCTGCGAACGGATCTCCAAGGCACGCGGGTCCGTTGATGAGATGGTGGACTACGTCGTGCAGAATGTGCCCCTCCCCTGGGTGGTGGGCCCCTTTGCCCCCAGTTTGGTGGAACGCCCCGATGTGCCGATGGATGACTACGGGAAAGACAGCGATGGCCTCCAAGCCCTGGGAAAAGACCACAAGGAGCCTGGGAGCCTGCAGGAGGAATGCGCCGAGCCACAGAAGGGCCCATAAGGATGCCTCCAGGTTTCAGACATGAGCAGTGGCTCCTAAGAACTCTAGGAATTACCTGGAAGAGAGCCTTTGGCACTCTTGCAGTACGATACTTCCTAGTAGTTTCTGAGTGAGCCCAGGTTCAGCGGCATCTGTCTCATTTCAAACGTGCCTTTTTAGAATCTTTTGCCTTGCTGTGAGCCTTGAGCCCCACAAATTGGAGGTGGGCATTTTATGTCTGTAGGATTAAAATAGCTGTGAATATAAAGTAACCATGTTTCTGGACCCCCAAGGATGGTGGAGGCAGGGTCTTTGTTGCCAACCATTCTGCCCTTTCCAAAATGACCCGCTGCCTTGTTCGCATCAGCCGGGGGTGTCCCTGGCTCTTGTGCACACTTTCCCAAAAGTTGCACTCTGTTGCAAAGTGCCCCAGTAAATTAAGAAAGGGAAGAGCTATCCAGCGTCACGTCTGTCATTGCTCAGCCAATGGTCCTTTCACACAACCTGCAATGAGAAGGCAGCCTGACATTTTTTAGATGGAGAGAAGTAGGGTAAGTTGATGTGCTAATCAAACACGTGAAAATCAGGTTGCTAGAATTTCTGGGTATATTCTTTGTGGAGAGAAGGGATCGGGGAACGAAGATAAGTGGTTTAAATTTGGTTGGGAGGAGGGAGAGCTATGTGGCTTCATATGCAATGCAACCTTTCCATTTTCTAGTGCACCGAAAGGAGAACCAGGTCATGTGATTGTCCTAAGCAAGCTTTAGTGCCTACATGATGTGTTTAAGTACAATACCCATGTTGCCTGGGATTGATGGGAGTTGTAGGCCAACACATTTTCAGGAAGCTAGGAATGACAGTGAAATCTGCCATGGATGCAAATGAGTTTGGATTTGTATGACTGCAAATTTTCAAATACAAAAAAATGAATACATACCCTCTACAGCTATGTATGAACTTGCATACTAGTTTCCCAGAATGTTAATTAACTTGCACTGGTGGAAAAATATTCATTTAAAAAGCCAGCCCAAAATGCACATTTCCCCCCAAAGCTACAATGTAAAATACACATGGTAGAGGGAAATTGTCGTTTTCAGACATGCAAGATTGTGCAAGTGCATGCAAATACAAATTAAAGAAATGGAAGAAAAGCTAATCAAGTGAGCAGATGATTGGAACAAAAGGGACTTGACAATCCATTAAAAAGAGAGAGGATTTAACAGCATCAGTACTCTCTTTAAACAATTCAGCCCTTGCAGCAAATGCAGTGGCAAAGGATTCTGGGGGTTGTAGGCAGAAACCTCTTGCCTGCCACTAGAGTCATGGAATGCCTTGTTGTATGCCTCTGCCTGGCATGGCTTTCAGGTTTTCCCACTACCTTTCCCCTCCAACAAAATGTTCAACTTTCAACACTCCCAACTGCCTTTGGAGAAAAGCTGCAATTGGTGTGGCATCATTTCCCATTTCCCCTCTCTTCACATGCTCTCAAAAAGATGCATTCAGTCTGTTTTGGTCTGGAATACTTCTAGCATGGGCTCAAAAGGGTGGATTGTTCTTGTAAATGAATATTGATCCAAAAAGGGCCATTCCAGCCAGTCCCGCAAAGTGCCAGCAACATGTTGTACCACTGTAGAATGGCCAGTGTTTTTAATTATTTCATTTTTCCAAAATAAAAAGTCTTCTAAACTATATCCTAATGCATGTGTTTAAAATCTGTACTATATGCATGCTGGGGAGGGCTAAATTAGTAGTTAGCAGTTGTTGTTAGTCGCGAAGTTGTGTCCGACCCATTGCGACCCCACGGACAAAATTCCTCCAGGCCTTCCTGTCCTCCACCATCCCCCGGAGTCCACTTAAGCTCATGCTGACTGCTTCAGTGACTCCATCCAGCCACCTCATCCTCTCCTGTCCCCTTCTTCTCTTGCCGTCAATTGTTCCCAGCATTAGGCTCTTCTCCAGGGAGTCCTTCCTTCTCATTAGGTGGCCAAAGTATTTGAACTTCATCTTCAGGATCTGGCCTTCTCAAGAGCAGTCAGGGTTGATCTCCTCTAGGACTGACAGGTTTGATCGCCTTGCGGTCCAAGGGACTCGCAGGCGTCTCCTCCAGCACCACAATTCAAAGGCCTCAATCCTTCGGCGCTCAGCCTTCCTTATGGTCCAGCTTTCACAGCCATACATTGCCACTGGGAAACCCATAGCCTTGACTATACACACTTTTGTGGGCAGGGTGATGTCTCTGCTTTTTAGTATGCTGTCTAGATTTGCCATAGCTCTCCTGCCCAGGAGCAAGCCTCTTTTAATTTCTTGGCTGCAGTCCCCATCTGTGGTGATCTTGGAGCCCAGGAAAATAAATTCTGTACATAATCCTAAAAACAACCTCTGGTTTTTAATTTATTTAAATTATCAAATGTCCACCATCCTGCTCTTTGAACCAACTTCACCTGATTTCCTTCATTACATTTCTGTATTGCCCAAATAGCCAGGGCTCTCCAGGAGGTTTACAAAGATTATCACCTCCTTCTTCTGCATTGTGACTGAATAGAAGAAAATAATGTGAATGATTTGTGGGGGGGGGGGTCTGGAGAGCAGGATATGTGCTGTTAATAATGGTGATGCTAAATAACCTAAGAACTATTTAAAAATAAAATATGACAAAGCACTGAAATAAAAGGAAGAGGGGAGAACGGAAACAGGTCCTGGACCAGACTGGAGGCAGTTGCTATGGCAACAGAGGGTGAGGTCCCAGCATTCCTCCTATTCTGGAAAAGAGAAGAGAGTCCAGAAAAATAGAGAATCTGGGATGTGGGCGGGGATTAAGCATTGATCAGTCCATCCATTATGAATAGGGATCAGTTCATCCATCATTCTAATACCTGAGACAAGGGGTACCTTCCCTATTCACTCATGGACGTCAGTTTTTCTGATCCCTGTCCCAGAGCTTCCCCCACTACAGTTTTTCATACTGATCCAGAGATGGGTACCCTAATCAAGAAGAGAGAGTGCAGATCCTTGGTTCACTCTCATGGTGAGCAACTGGCTTAATGGACAGGTCTCTGCCCCTCAGAGCTTGCAAACTTGCCATGTTCTGCGGTTTTTATGGCAGAACAAAAATGAGACTAAACAGGCAGGTCTCTGCCCTCTAGGGAGCTGCAGTATGAAAAGCAAAGGACAATGGCTCCCCTGCATACATGCAAACAATCAGGTCGACTTAGTCAATTGTTGCAACAAGCATTATCCCCATCAGCCCAACCAGCAGGATCAATGGTCAGAGTCTGAGAGTTGTAGCCGAAAACATTCCTGTATTAGCGTTTCTGAACCAAAGGGAACACATTTCAAGCATCCCACGTACGATTGCTCTGTAACTGCTGTAGAATTTGGTCTGCCAACCCAAATGTTGAACAGAACTGGAGCTCCAACCTGCAACACCCCAAAAAGGCCAGTACAGTGGTACCTCAGCCCACGGACTTAATCTGTTCTGGGACTCTGGTTGTGACCCAAATTGGTCGTGAGCCAAGCTAAATTTCCCCATAAGGTTCAATGTAAATAGGGTTAATCCATTCTGTAACTATTTTTTTTAATCAAAATTGAAGCAAAAAATTGAAGCGAAGTGACAAAGAGAAACAAAGATAATCTCCACGCCCCCCCAGCATGATCCCAGCATGTGGGGGGGGGGAGACGGGTGCAATGGGGGAGGGAAAGACAGGTGCGAACGGGACACACTGGGGAGGGAGATGGGCGCAATCGCAGGAGCTCAGGGGTGGGAGAGATGGGCGCGATTTCGGCCATCTCCCCCCTGCCCCAGCACGAACGTGGCCATCTCCCCACTTGGGGGGGTGGGGAGATGGCCGTGATTGTGCTGGTTGGGGGGAGGGGAGATGGCCGAGATCACGCCCGTCTTTCCTGCAGGAGCGTGCCCGTGATCGCACACGTCTTCCCTGCACAAAAGCAGCTGTGGTCGTGGCCATCTCTCCACTTGGGGGTGATGGGGGGATACGGCCGCGATCGCGGTCACCACCCAATCCGGAGTTCGCGACCCACGCCAAAATGTTCATGAAATTTTTGTTTGCGACCCGATTTGGTTGTGAACCAATGAGTTTGTAAGCCGAGGTGCCACCGCATCGCGTCTGTGATGTGAGCATTGTTCCCTCTGCTGGCAAATGAAGAAAAGAACACCTTCTGCAAGGAAGGTTCCCCCCCTTAGGATCCCAAACATTTCTCCCTTCCCTTGTTGTGAGCCGTCCCAAGGCTGTGTAGCAATGGGGACAGCATATAAAAACTTTAAATAAATAAATAATGCCCAGCCCTTCAGCCCTTCTAAGGAGCCATCTGCCTGTGTATTAATTCAATACCTTCCATGCTGCCTTTCATAAGCCTTGTGTGAGAAATCCAGCCTGCTGCTGAGAAGAGGGATGGGAAGAAGCTAAGAGAGAGAGAGAGCGCGCAGCCTGCATTGTGAGCAGTTTGTCCTCATATAGGGGATAAATGTGCCCCATATCCCTCATATAGGGGATGGATATGAGGCCAATATGATGCTACAGTCAGATTAGGGTGGATGGGCACCGCTCTCTCTGCCCAGGTGCTGGCATATCAGCAGTGCCCATGGCATGCTAGGGAAGGCGGATTATGGGTAATGAAGCATGGTGGGTCATTGGAAGGAGGAATTTGCCCCAGGCAGGACATAGGAAAAACTCTGGAACTCTGTGTTACAGCCCGTGTTACAGCTTAGGTTGCAATGCAATGCCAGGGGAGGCAGAAAAAATCCCCAGCATTCCCCATGCAGCACAGCAATGCTATGCTCTCTCTGTTGAGGCAAATAGCTGGCTGGGGGATGCTGGGAGTTCTAGGGCTTTTTTCCCTGTCTAAAGAGGCCCAGGATCAGCAAACCACCAGGGGCTGGCAGCGTGACACAGCAGCAATGATAGCTAATACAGTATTGGGCTGCATGAACGGAAGTGTAATGCCCAGCTTGGAGTACATCATTGATCCATGTGGTTCTGCCTCAGCCTGCCCATATTCAGCACACAGCGTCCAGTTCAGACATCTCTTGATAGGAACAGCAATGAGACAACACTGGGTGTTGAGCAAGAAAGGCAGCCATGCAGAGGAGAGCTCGAGAAATGAAGATAGGAACAATGAAACAGAGTGAGCCAGAAGGGGGCCTCCTGGGCCATCTAGTCTGACCTCCGGCACCAGCCGGCTCCACTCACGACATGCCCACCATGTGCACGTCCAGCCTATCCTTGAGCACCTGCACCGATGGGGCCTCAACCACCTCCCGGGGAAGCCCATTCCACGCCCTCGGGGTTCTGACTGTCAGGAAGTGCTTCCTGGCATCGAAATGGGACCTGGTTCCCTGAGCTTGGCTCCGTTGGAGCGCATCCTGCCTTCCTCTGCAGGGGAGAACAGGTCTCTCCCCACCTCCGTGTGACACCCCCTCACACACCTGTATGTCGCCAACAGATCCCCTCTGAGTCTCCTCTTCTCCAGGCTGAAGAGACCCAGCTCCCTCAGTCTCGCCTCATACGGCATCCCCTGCAATGTACAAGCAAAGGGTTGAATCAACCATGTAGGGTCAACCAGGATTAAAAGAGACTCAAGAAGAGATGTGATTGTGGCATTCAAATATCTGAAGGGCCGCCATACAGAACAGGGAGCAGACTTGTTCCTCCTTCCTTCAACAGGACTAGAAACAAGCATTTCACTGTGGAATGCTGGGAGGTTTTTGTTTTGTTTTCTGTCTACACAGGCATACAATTCTGGCCTTAGTCAGATTTCATATTTCCTACTAATGGTTAAATACTACCTTAGACAAATTCACTCTCCAAGGGAATTCATTATCCTCCTGTCCTTTTCATGGGCATCCTATCTGAGCAGCCCATTTAAGGAAAAGATACTGCTTTGGTCTAGGTTCCTTGGAATGATAAGAACTATGTAAGCATGACCATGTTTTATCTGCTGAGCTTGGCTTTTTCCATCCGCAGTTACCTCCCTACCACCGGATCCATTGTGTTGGTTTATCAATTTATAAATTTTAAAATTCTCACCAGTAACAGTGAGAAAATGGTGATTAGAACCATGAAAACACATGAAATGAATGAGAAAGTTCTTTTTTTGCAGCATGTTAAATTCTGCCTGAGGATCTAGAGATATTAAAACTTAAGCTCACTACTTTTTTTCTTAGCATAAACTAAGACTGAGAAAGACATATATAAAACAAAGCATACTAAAAAAGACAAGTTATAACAATCAAAGTCATCACGGGAATTTTAAACAAATACAACCAATAGGTTCATAACTTTTGACCCCCACCCCACCCCACTTTTATCTATCTTTCAGCAGTCTATGGGAGTTTAAGAAAAAAAAATAATTTGTTTATACATCTGTTATTACTTCACATCCTCTATTGTTTCTTTCCCTCTCTTCCTCCCTTTCAAATTCCCCTCAAATCCACTCACTCATTCAGAGCATAGTAAAAATTTCTATTTATCATTAAATTCTTCTAGTGGTTTTCTATTTACATGATCAGTTAGCTTTGTCATCACCACATATTCCGCTAATCTATTTTTCCACTCTTCAATTGTTGGGGGCTCTGCTGATTTCCCTTTAGAAGCAATTGTAATTCTTGCTGCAATTGTCGTGTATTTAAATAACTCTGACATGTTCTCTGAAAAGATCTCTGGCATTATATT